GCGAATCACAAACACGAAACGAAAGAAATCAGAATAGAGAGCCAGAATTCAACAAGATCTACATATCATAACTCCCAAATATTTTTGGTGGAAAACTTGCGGGCATATGTACTGATTATCATTAGATAGATTCAGGGGTCAAAAACATAGTGTAATGTAGTACAAATACCCTATAAATGATACGGACACCACATCAATTTTTAATTAATCAATGATTGCAATACCTGTAGAGCTATCTAGGACATGTAGGGTTACCTAAAATAGATATATACATCCATGACATGTATCCAGATGGTTTTCAGAACAAGGAAGCCCTATGCTAGTGAATGGAGGCCACAATAAGACCTAGAGAATGGGCAAGTTGCAGAGTACTGGATGGTGCTCCAGAAAGCACAACTGACATCTAGTGAGCTGCACTATATAAACGTCAGCCAATGAAAGCCCCCTAGCACCAGAAATCAGCCCAAGAGATTCAGAATTGAAGGCCCCATCAGAGGATGAATGTAGGGGGGGCAGGAGGAAGGGGTAGGTGCCCAGAGAGAATGACTAGATGCGCCAGAATATGGATGGTATCATCGTACTCACAGACACTTAAAACCCCAGTGACAATATTTATAGGCACATATAGCAGTAGGAAAGCGAGCTGCAGGGGGTAGGCTGGGGGGAGGTAGGAGGAAGGGGTATCTATAGCTCCATAACGTGTGGATGTATCACCAAGCACTTTTGGTACACTGATACAGGCACATACGGTACTGTGTTTGACACCTGCTCCAACCCATATCTGTACTGGTAGGCTGGCTAGCCCAGTACCAGTAAATACACACATGCTCTGAATTAATTCCCTGGGGCTGCCACACTGCATGTCATAGCTTGTTTAAGCACTAACTGATATACCTATACCTACAATGCACCTACTACAGCAATCCCTATAGGGAGGGAGACTCTAGAGAGCTAGGGAGGCCGGTCTAAAGGGGGAAAGCAGGCTAGGAGGGCATTGATTGTATTCATGGCATTGATGGGCCATGACATCACATATTTTGACCAATTTGCTGGTCCCATCATCAATCAATTGCCCCTTAATCTCAATCAAAGCCACACCATTGGTCCAACAGGCTTCTGACTAACAAGCAAATATAATAATTCTTACCATCGTTAGTTGCATGCCATGGTTCATCTTACAGTTAGTGCCCCATTCAACAACATCTCCTTATTAGTGTCCAGCCAACTACAGTCCAGAAAAAGAACAGAAAAGGAAAAGAATAAAGAATAATCTGGTGTCTATAACATCCCTAAGTTTGGCACAGTCCGGACCCTCACAATTGTCGGACGGGACTCTCTTGTAAAAGTTGTACACATATCAGCCAAGGGAGTGTCCGCTGAGATGCGTGGCAAGTGTGATAAGGGTCTGGGTTATGAGAAGTGCGGTATTAGCCAAGCAATGTTGCACGGGGCTCTCTTCTCCATCCTGCATGAGTATGAAGGCCGATTTGCCCAGATATCCGCAAATGATTCCAAAGAGCTTGTCAAACAACTTGGACGTGTAATGATAGCAGTCTTGGACGGTTCACAAAGGGTTGAGAATGATGCAGGCACCCAGCTATATGCAAGATTGAGACGGGCAAGCAATTCATCCGCAACAGAGGTACTTACATTCCGGTAGAGCTTGTACAGGCAACCGCGTGCTCACTCTGTCTCAGTGTGCACCTTCATGAAATGCATGCACAGCTCTTCCCGCTCCACATCCTCGTCCTCATTCCTGTCATTGTTGACCCGGGCCAGATGACACTTGTCTTTGGGCAGCCATGCAGTGAAGAAGGTGTTGAGAATCTTGGTCTTGTGCTGGGCACCCTTGGCACCGCTGGTCATCTCTATGTAGTGAACATGCAGGTACAACATCTTGATCTTTTTCCACATGCTGTTGAGCCACCGAGGACCTGGCAAAAGCTTTGTAGACTGTGAGGCAATGCGCATGGATACACCCTCAAAGTTCAACCCCTTCTTCCCGTCGCCACCCTCCTCAAAGATACGTTTGGACTCCCCACCAGCTTGCATACGAGCTTCTCTATCTTGTGGTCTTAAGATGCAAGGATATCCCAGGCAGCGGGAGCTTCCGGTAAGTCATCTTCATCTGGTTCGTTCATTGCCGTGTCATCATTGCAATAGGTGAGGCCATGCAAAGCGCGGATGAGGGTAGCTTCCTTGAGCTGAGCATGAGGCTGTCACTGACTGATGACCTTTTCTGCCGTATTGCGGTAGATGAGTTCAACTATCTTCTCTGGGGAAACAAGTGCGTGCTCCTCTCCTGCCGGTAGCTTTGACAAGAGGTCACACATTGTTTGTTTGATGACAGTGAAGTGGGTGTCGGCCGGAACTGTTTTTGGTGGCAGCGTCTTCATGGGTGGGGCGGTAGGCTTGGCAGCCATTACTTCCCCCTCGGGTTTGGTACACTGGCCAGCTGTCTACGTAGCCTGAGCTGACACTGTCGCTGGAGATTGTGAGCATTGAGAATTGGCTGGTGTACCATCCCAAGCCGCCACCAGAGAGGGAGAACATTGTGAGACAGTTGGGAGTGATCCCCTGAGAGCTGCATCAGCCAGTGGCGAAGAGCATGCCAAGCGGTCACATTGCGACAGAGTGAGAGAGCCAGTGAGTTGTGAAGCTGGTAGAGTGCCCACAAAGCAGACCATATGCTTGATTCCATGACGCAGGTTGTTGCCGAGCTCCTATCCCTGCACTTAATGTTGCTGGCTTTTCAGATATCGACAAAGTGCACGCGCCGCTTCAACAGCCTCCTCCTCTAGTATAAAGTCGTCAGCATCCGGATGAGAGGACTGTAGGAACAGCGGGGTATTGGATGGCATCGGGTAAGCGGTTTAACACGTTCCTGGCTGTCCAGCAACATCCACTATAAATGAGCACCAAAACGCTCGCAAGCACAGGACATTGGCAATGGTGCTGGTGAGACTGTGGGCACTTGAAACAAATGTGGTGGCAGGCAACAGATATTGAAAGCAGCACCACTCGCAACATGTGATACCAAGCAATGTAGCAATGTGCGGCGCGTCCGTTGGTGCCGGGTGCATCCGATCGCAATGCCGTACCTGAGTGGCACCGGAGGCCCATGCTGGTTAGGCTGTCGGGTGCAAAAGCCAAGCACCATTGATGCAACTTGCAGGTGAATTAAACATGTGACGTGCTTGAGGGTAGTATGCAGACATTGTATTACAGCAAGAGTAGAGTATCCAAAAACACCTTATCAAACATGCAGGGCCAAGAAGAACAACCAAGAAACATACACAAGGCATCTACAAGCCTCATTCAGCAGACAAAACCTCTTCAATGTCCGAGTGTAAAAGGGAATCAGAGTACATGTGTCTGACCCTGGACGCGCATGCCTGTAACTCGCCGGCGGGCACAACAAAGTTCCATTGCAAGACGTATGCCATTCGCTGGTGCTTGGCAGCAAGCTGTTGTGACTCAGAACTGTCTCCTGCAAACCTGCACCAGGCCGAGTTGTCATATTGAACAGCTGCCAAATCCAGTTGGGCAGTGGTATAGTATGTGAGCAGGAAGAGTCGATGGCCAGATGAGTGGGAGTAATGGATATTGTGTTGAATGCGCAGCCTAAGAA